GTGGGATTGAAAGTTCCAACCAACCTTCTAATCACAGGAGTGGCTTCAGGGGCAACTAGCCCCTATCCTTAGATGGGGGTCCAAAAGTCACCTCATTAACATAATGAAAAGCACCTTTACCACTGTCATCACTGAGGCAACTCCAATGGTTTTGGGGGTTCTGTTCCAGAAATGGTGTTGAGGGCCAAATAGATATTTCTTAGTATAAATCACAATATCACAAGTATAATGTGTTAATCAGATCTCTCTTGAAGGGAGTTTGGATAAGGCAGAGATGCCTGTCACCTTCAGCAGCAGTGCAACGTGGACGAAGTACTATCCAAAGGGAAAGCAAGGATAAAACATCTGTCTTAATTTCAGACTACTCTTATCCTAACATATATTCACAGATATTTTTCCAATAGCTTCTCAATTTCGAATCTGTCATTTCAATTACAGGAACACATTTGTTTTATAGTATATTTTCCTCAAGCTTTTCTCATACAGTGCATTAACAACTCACTCTACTTAGGCATAAACAATGATCAGCTTTTCCCCTCTTCAGTGAGATAACTATAAAACTCAAGATAAACCATGTCAGTATTCTCTCACTTAAAATCTACTCTGGAAATCTAAATCTATACTTTTGATGATAAAACATTTTGAAATAAAAGAAATTTAAAACAGTTCATGTAAAAACCACACCTTCTGTAGTTAATTTGTCTGTCACTGTCCAGGTCCCAGGTAGCAGAATATGCTAAATGTTGTAGCAACAAGCACTAGAAGCTACAGTGGAACACTAGGGAATCTAGGACCCCAGAATGTCAGATGGTTTGACATTGTACTAATTTGCATTAAAGTGAAAGCAGCATTCATAAGAGATAGGTACGAGAAAATTTTAAGAAAAAATGTCTCTTGAGATTTTCAGCTTCTCCCTTCATTGTGTTGTTTGCAACCTTTGTACAAAGAGTGTTTGAAGAGTTCACCATTATTTTCTGAACAGTCAGAATAATGTAAGATATTTCCCAAAGTGCATAAAATAATTCCATAAGTTTGACATTGTAATTTGATATACATTATCCATTATATATGCATTGTAATTGTAAATGGCATGAATGAATGAAAAAATGTATTCCTACTTTTCCCTTATCACCTGCTGTTTAAAATAACTAAGTCACAACAAATGTAGATGAGGATTCCTACCTGAAGATCTGAAGAGACAGAACTGCCTCGGTCGGCGTCACTTTGCATAACTGGAAGTGAGCATTTCTCCTCATCTGATGACATTCTGCACAAATACTATAAAAAAAAGTAGAAGCTAACTTTAGTTTTTTTCCTCAATATTTGAGCTAAATAAAATGTTTTATACATATATATAACAGCATCCTAACCTGTAAACAATACTCATGTGATATGTTAAAAATCATTCAACATAGGCAAAAACACTGGGCAAGAAAAAAGAATTAAAGACTCAACTCCCAACATTAGTGGGTTTATAATATAGTTAAGGAGATGAGACAAAAAACATGAAAGGTTAAAGAGAAATGGAGGCTCAGAAAAACAGGCCGTGGGGGCCTGCTGAGAACAACAGATTGTGATGACTGCTCTTCAACACTGTGACAACCGGGGTGCTGTGCACTTTCCTGTGAGATACTGAAGCAAGAGAATGAATAATTTGTGCAAATTCCCTGCTTGGGAAATTTCTCTTTTGGGAATATTATTTTAAGAAAAGCAAGCCTATTTGGAACAACAGATTCTTATACATGCATAGAAAAATTGTTGAAAGTGTTAACCAGAAAAATAAAAGTACTTTCAGTAATAAATAAGTAATTTAAATGACAAGTAGTGACTATTCCAACTATCTGAACACAAGTCATAGTAAGACATTGGTGAGGAATTGAGATGAAGAAGCCATTGTCCTCAAGGGCTTTACGATCTGTAGGGAGTGCCAGACATGTACATAATATGAACTGATGAAAAAAGTGCTGTTAGACCCTGAAACAACAGAGGTACCAAGTAGAGGGGTAGGAGTAGCCTTTTGCATGGGGTGGGTTTACAAGGGTGTGAATGGAACTAGAGAAAGTTTTAATTGAGAACATGAACGAGGTGTTGAGACTGAAAGATGGAGAAAAGACACTGAACATGCTAGGCAGCAGAGCAGCATAAGCGAAGACACAGAGGCATGGACATGCATGCCAGGAACATAGGGAGTTTGTAAGTCTCGCACAAAGGGTGCAAAATTAGGCTTCCTTAAACAGGCAAGGTAAGGAACAGCTAGATCAAGAATACATCACATTAAGGTTTGGTCTTTATTAGATAAGTTTTTTAAATGTTTTAAACAAGTGATAACCTGATCAGGCTTGTCTTTTAGATAAACCATCCAGCTTTCAGGATGGATTATAAATGTGGGCTACTGAAGAGTGATCCACTGAGAGTCAACTGCTGTTGTCTAAGAGGTCAGTTGTTCCCTGGGCATTAATCGAGGAGATAAACAAGGACCTGACTATAGGAGGCAGCAATGGTAGGTGGAGGGTATGACTATGAGACAGCTGTGTTAAAGCAGAGGAAATGAGAGACCATGCTCAACAACTGGTTACAGGATCAAAGGGGGGAACTGGCGGTGGCTTCCAGATTCTGGCTGGGGTAACGAGATTGATGACAGCACCACTCACCAAGGTGAGGGATGTGGGAAGTTGAACAGGTTGGGAGGAAGGACAATGACTTCAATATCAGCTGTACTGGATGTGAGGGTGCTGTGAGGCACTGAAGTGAAGCTGCAGGCATGCAGTGTTTGGCACACACACTGTGCTGTGCACCACTCTGAGGACTGCCTTTCCCAATGGCTACAATGTGAATGGTGCCTCCTGGAGGTATGTGGGTTGGTGACCCAGTTTGAGGCATCATCAACATAATGGCAAACACTCCCAGAGAGGTATAGGATCAGCTCACCTACAAAAAGGAGTGTGAGGAAGAGTTCTTATTCTGGGGTCCATACACCTAAATTATATGCAATATTTGTAGTATAAATACAAATTTATTTTCTAGGAAGAGGATCCTTAGCTTCCAGTATGTGTTCAGAGGGGACTATAACCCTAATAACGTTAAGGCCCACTACAGTAGTGGGAACCGGGTTAAATCCAGAGCCACTAATACTTAAAGGAGAAAAGAAGAGCCAGCAAGAAGACTGAAAAGGACGTTAGAGTGGTACAACTAGCAGAAAGAAGAGCATCACAAAAGTTTGAAGAAGGGACTAGTCAGTCAGATGCCAAAGTAAGATGAGAACTGGACAGAGTGTCTGAATATAGCAATCAGGAAGTTGCTGTGACATTTGCCTGAGCAGTTTCGATGGTAAGTGGAACAGGACTCCATCACAGGAGGCTGAAAAATAAATGAGAGAAGAAGAACTTGAAGTAGAAAGGGCAGACACAGGGAAAAGTGCAATATTAGAATGGAAATGTAGGTCGGGGGTAGATTATGGAAAGGAAACTTCAACTTTATTCATTGAGTATTACTGTATTACTGCATATACACAAGATAAGTAAACTAAATCTCAGCCTGACTGTCTTCAGTTAAGCCAATTAGCGAGGATAAGATAAGACCATACATCTGCAGCAAGGAAGGGGCTGCTGCACGGACTTCAAATCCACCACTGTGGTAACTTGGACCATTTCTATTTCCATTCATTTCTTCTTTTAGGATGTGTTTGCAGCCTGGATAAGTAGTAAGAGGTGGAGTGCGTTGGTGATATTTATTCACAAAGCAAACGAGCTGCAAAGTATGATCAGATCTCAAAAAGGGTTTCTGAATATTGATACTGCAGGTACAACTACTGTCCTTTTGGAAAATATAAGTGTTCCACTTGCCTTGATGCCAACCAGGTATGTCAGTTTTTTTGAAACTACAACAGTCGCATTTTTCTTCCTGTTTCTAGGTTCAGAAACAAAGAAGAAAAATGAAGTTTTGCTTTATTGGGTGGCGGATGTACATCCGTTCACTATATTTTAAGTATTCTCTAACCCAAGATATCAGAAACCGCGAGATAAAAAGTTCTGAGTGCTTCTCTATTGCCAGAGAAACCAATGTACATCTTGGTAGTTACCTGGCTGACAGGAAAAGAGGTGTCCGGGAATCAAAATGCAACCCCCACGAGGCAGAGGAAGGGTGAATTAACTGCGAGCTAGCAGCGGGGTGACGTCCCGCGCCCTCCACCGACCCCAGCGGCAGCCGGGAGAGAGGGGTGCCAGCCCCCCCGCCCCCTGCGTCGGGGTCTGGAAGCAAAGCGGAAAAGCAGTGGCGAGTAAGCAAAGGGCTAGAAGTTCTCTTCGATCACCCTCCTACCCACCGGGTGTGTAAACAAACTCATACTTTAAGACAGTAAAGCATCAGACATGGTTACTTTTCCCCCTACATTTTAAATGACCGGAGCCTGGGCAACACTAACCGCTGTACCTCAGACACCCCTCACTCCTGCCCTGGGTTCCCGGACGCCTCGGAGAGTAAACCGTCCGGACCCGCAGGCAGCTGAACAGCCCACCTCTCGGGTAAGACGCCCCCAGGCCCGTAGTGTACAGCCCCGTAGGCGGAAATCCAAGCTTACGCTACCCACCGTCTCGGATCTCCACAAACCCGCACTCCTCCCTCCGCGTCCTCCGGCCCTGTCGCCGCTAAAAGCAGTACCGCAGCTCCTTGGCAGCAACCTGACAGTTTCAAACTGCAGCTATGAATTAAGGACGGCCCTGTGCATTGGCCCGAGCTTCAGCAACCTGCCGTGTGATTGGTCCGAGAGCCAGGGGCGGGGCTTTGGACCGGCGGCGGGGTGGGGGCCGGAAGTAGATTACTTACAGGAAGCCCCGCCTCCTGCTCCGGCGGTTCTCGGGGCGGGGTCTCCAGGAGCCCCGCCTAGTGCTCGGAGCGGAGTGCGTGCATGCTCAGTTCCATTCTGCTACCGCAGACTACGAGACGGCTCTAGGATCAGATTGGCTACAGGTTGCAGAGCAGCGCTGACGTTAGCCAGGGAGGTACGCTGTTGTCTTGGATAATGCCCGTAGCCTGTGCATGTGGTACTCATGCCTAAGAATCATCTGCGTCCACGGTGCCCTGCAACAGAATCACCTGGAGGTGCCTTTTATAAATACAGATTCCTTGACACCCGCCCCTGCTGATTGCTTCAGTTTGGGGCAGAGCCAGAAAGTATGAATTTTTAGCAAGCTGGCCCGCGATTCTGCAGGGGTCTGCGAACAACGCTTTAATAAACCGCTGGAATAGGTTTTACTAATTACCTCAGACGTGTCAGACTGCAGGTCAGGCCCTTCTGGCGAAGTGAATATCAGCCTTAAAATATAAGTATGTCCTCACCTTGGATAATGCTATTCACATAAAATGGTTGTAGAGAGACGGAATGAGTTAGTATGTTTAAAATACGCATCATGTATCAGCAAAAATAATAGGCTTTCAACTTGTATTGTCAACAGATAATAGTTAAAAGTATACTTTAGGATCCAGATGGCAAAGGGAGTGTTCCAATCTGGCAGCAAGTCATAAGCTCTGGGTGTTTACAGGCTCCCTTTGTTACCTAGAGAACGAAGCATACGTTTCTTTTTCTGTAGATAGAAATGGCATAACCTGGGTATCATCTACGTACCTGTTGGCAGAACCAGACTTCTACTTAAAACAACAATGAAGTAAGGAGAGTGCCTGTCCCCCTCTCTATCCCCACTCCCACCCTCACCCATTTCCATGGTTATTATAAAGGACAAATTCCTATTATTAGATACAAATTCATACCTGGTTCAAATATCTTTTTTCACTGAAATGGCATGTGATGACCCTATACACTGTACTTGTTACTGATTCACTATCCCTGTGCCCTCTTGCCACTTGGCTCCATGTTTCTCTTCTCTGTCCTCTCCCTTTTAGGGGGCAGATTTTCATAGAAAACCATTGGGTAAGCGATCTCCATTCTTCTGTGAAGCTGCAGAGAGAAAGAGAGCAAACCTGGTCGAGATGTTATGAATTTTGAACTGACTCTTTTCCCAAGGTTCCTACAGAGTAATGGAGAAAGAGACACAGAGAAAATAAAATACCCACAAATTCATAATAATTACATCACCAGCTTTGAACCTTTCATAATCATTTATTTTTCAACAGATATTTATCTAACATTCATCACATGCAAAACATTTTGTTGGGCTCAGAATAGAGTGGTGAACAAAATAAACAGTCTGCCCTCATGGAACTTAGAGTTTGATAGGAAAAAAACAGATACTAAACTACAACGAAAACCCACACAAATGAATAAGTAATTATGAATTACATTTGAAGTGAGAGGATATTAGGAAATCTTGTATGAGAAAGTACATTTAAGCTGGGACGTCAAGGATGAACAGGTAAAGAACTTATTTCATCTAATAAATCCACAGAATACTTACTATGTCCTGGACACTGTCCTCATTAGCTTATTTAATTCTCAGATTATCACTGATGTAGGTGCTCTTTCCATCCTCATTTTACTGATGTGAAAACTAAAGCTTAAAAGGTTATGTGGCTTGCCTAGGATCACACAACTAATAAGAGCAGAATTGGTATTCAAACTGAGGCAGTCTGGGCTCCAGAGTCTATGTTCTTATCATTCAATATGTCCTGTTGGGAAGAGCATAGCTATTATGGATTCGATAGTGTCCTCTGAAAAAGATATGTTCAAGTCCTAATCCCAAGTACCTGTGAATGTGACCTTGTTTGGAAATTGGGTCTTTGCCCCATCAATGTAATCAAGTTAAAATGAGGTCATGCATGCATATATTATATTATTGAATGAATTGAAATATCAGTCTAACTGTATACATTCACTGTATACATACACCTGTATATGTGTCTCTCATTTCAGAATTTGTGGGAGGGTAGGTGAAAGGAGATTGGGATTCCCAGATAATAGGCCCCATCATGTTGCCTACTACTTGGGGTCTACCTTAAATCTGATATTAATCTCCATTATATACCCACCACCCCATCTATCCCTTAGGTGTCCTAGGTCCCACAGCCTGCACATAGATCACCTGAATGGTTTTCTCAAACACAGATTTCTGGGTTTTATCCTCAGAATTTCTGATTATGTAGGCTTGAGGTAGGGCCCTAAATCTTAACATTTCAAACAAGTTCCCAGGGAAAGGTGATACTCTGGTCCTGGGGCTACACTTTGCCCTTGGTTGGTCTGTCTCCCCCGAGTCACAAGCAGCATTGTGTCAGGATCTGAGCTTCAGCTTTCTCCATGCTGCCACAATCAGGCAGCATTATGGTGAGGCCTTGGACACTCCAAGCTTCCTTTCTGGTGCTCTGGAGGTTGCAGTTCATTTCCTTCCTGCATCCCAAAGGTACTTTTCTGGACTACATACTGTGGAGCCCTGTGCTGACAGTGGTCCACCTTGGAAATCTCCCCTCTCACCTAGATTCCTGTCTCCTTTTCAGTTGCTAGCAGCATATCCACACCTTGGCAAGTCCACCCTGCCAAAGCTCTGCTTTTCACCTCTGCTTCTAACTAGCTCCATGACCTAATTCATCCTATTTGAGGTGGGTGTGTCATCCTGAAAGCCAATTTGTGTCTCATCCAGTAGCTGTTAGCAAACGTCTGTTCCCCATGTCAAAACTGCTGTAACTGAAGCTTTGAAGTGGCTTCTGGGGACCCAGTCCTGCAGCTTTGGCTTCTAGATCTGAACGTTCAGATTCTTCTCGTGTATGTTCTCATTGATGCTGTGGTTCTTGTTCACGGAGTCAAAGAATGAACTTCACAAACATTCAAGGTAGGAGAGCAACAAAGAAGCTTTTACTTAGAGAGAACGTGAGAGGACAGAGCTCCTGGCTCAGGCCAGGAGGGGACAAGAGAGCCCTGGGGTGGTGCGTTGTCTAGGGGTTTTATAGGTAGTCCAGCGACAAAGAGCTAGGGATGTATACCTGCTAAGTGGTCCCAAAATGTTTATCTTTGAAGAGACATTAAGTTTCTAATTAGTCTTCCTGGTTATTTATAAGACTTTTACTGCTATAATTTCCTCCCAGGATAGCAGCTTCCTAGTCTGGGAGTAAATCACTCAAGACTACCTGCTTTGCTCCCAAGGTGGGCTGAGTTGTTGTCTGTTTGTTAAGAAACTTACTTTTTAACTAATTGGGTTTTAAGATGCAATCTTATTTTCAAGATGGAATCCTTCCTGTTTTTACTAGTGTTTTGGGCTTGCTTGCTACATTGCCCAGGTTGCAAATCATTTGTTTAGGGCTGGAGGAAGAAAAGCAGCACCTGGGTAAAGTCAGAAAAACAAGCTGGGCCCCCCAGCAGGCTAAAGTACATCCCACAATGGATTATTTTGCTTTGTTTTTTCCAGAGGCCCTCACCCTATCTGTCTAAGCCATGGTCCCTGTCTCATCATCACTCAGGTACTGAGCTTTCTCCCAGGGAAATGGCTTCTCAAAATGGCAGTTTCATGTCCACAGCAGCCTTGGAGTAAAGCCAAGTTTTCCATAATATTTTTTTCATTTGGTCCTCACCATTTCATTACAAAGCCTTCCTCTTGAACTGGTTTCTGTGAATCATAGGGCTAGCTCACATACAATCACAGAGTACCCTCTCAGGGACCATGAAGTGCTTTCCATTTCTTTCCTTTCTCACTCGGGATTTTCCCCATCCCCTGCTGCTGAGACTTCAGAGACCCCTAGAGTCCCTGCTGGTGCCTGCCAAGGTGTCTCCACCTCCTGCACCCACCAAAGGTGGTTCTTCACTCAATCTCCTGCCAAAGTACCTACAGCTGGCAGACCTGCTACATCAATGGGGAAGCCACCCCACGTCAAAGATGCTGAATGTCTTGGCATCTGTTGCTGGCAAAGACCCTAGTGTTCTGCCCTGTTGATGCAGGCACTGGTGGTGGCACTAATGTGATAAAGATTTCATGGCCTCAACAGGTTGTGTACTAAAGTGGGAATGGTCCTTTCATGTCTTTTGTCTTATGTGTTTTAACTGGGTTCCCAAGTAGTGCTTCTGGGTATTGCCAGTGACTAGGAGAAAATCTAGTGAAGGAGCTTTTGGCAGAGATGGCAAGCTGCCTACCAGAATTCCATTATGTAGAATTGATAAGGAAAATCTTCAACACAGCCGTCCAGGTCAGCAAACCTCTTTTTTTCCTCTGGTTGGCAAAGCCCTCCCAGCTCCCTCTTCCCCTCCTCCAGGCTCCTCTTTTGTCCTGTGCATGCCAAAATACCACATATCAAAATAATATAAATTGCTCCCCTTGCTTGTTCTCAGGGCTTAGACCTTGGGAGATTACTCCCCTCTGAGTCCTCCAGTGTAAAATAAAACCTCAACACTCCAAGACCTCCGAGTGCCGCTGGGTTCTTCCATCAGTGATCCATCCAGTCCAGGTTTTTCAGTATTTTCCATAACAGAATTAGTGCTAAGAATTAGCTGCCCAGGCATTTAAAAAAAGTTTCTGAGCCTCCCCCCGATTTGTGCATTTAGTGGAGTTACAGAACTAGTTCACCACAATGCAAACAGAGCTGATGGGTATCATTTTCAGACCAGGAATTTAAGAAGCAGGTGTGTCACATTTATATTTTTTCTTTTCCTTTCAGCTGGTTCTGAGACCTCAGGAAATGACAGAATATAGGATGGAAGGAACCAGGACATCCACCTTGGACTGCTCTGTAAGCAAAAAATATATTTCCAGTACACTTCAAAATGATAAAGATGGTAAATTGTATGCGAAGTATAGTTCACTGCAATTTAAAAAATACATTTCTAGTGTGACAAATCACTAAAAATTTGAGGTTTATTTGTGCAGCAGCTAACATTACCCTAATTAATTCTCATCTCCCTATATCTGTTCTCATTTAAGACCCCATTTCCCAGTACCCTGGGACAAGTCACACGCAGAGTGCAAGAGAAGCAACACTCCAAAGTACTTTTGTCTTCCACATTGGCCGTCTGTCCCTGGCAAGTCTCTCTGTGCCTGGACTCCCTTCACACTGCTTTAAAGACCTTTATAGAAACAGACTCTTACTATTACAGATGAGTAGTTAAGCTCACAGGGACAGGTGTTCTGGGTTTGAATCTTATCTCTGCCTTTTACTAGCTGTGTGACCTTGGGCAAGTGACTTGACCTATGTGTGTCTCAATTATTTTAATGCAAAATGAGGCAATAACATTGCTTACCTCCATAGATTCCTGTAAGGATTCCATGAGTCAAATATACACAGAACACATCACTGTTACATAAGTTTTAACTCTGTTACTCTTGATAATGTACCTCACAGCTCCTCCAGCCATATCCACACATGCATTAATCTTGGGTAAATAATTTAAGTTTTAGCTGATCTTCTTTCTATAAAATAGTAAAATGCCATATTAATAAACAGATATTATTTCCACTCTAAGAGAAAGGGCATATGCTTACACTTTGGGGTGCTCAACCAAAAAAGTACTTGGGTTATGTCTCAAGCAGTGTGCCAGGTTATTTCACATATATTTTGCCATTAGGAGTTGCAAAATTATGCATAAATAAACCTGGGACCAGAAATACATTCACAATAAAAACTTAGTTCAATAATATACAGGATGTCATTGCAACAATAATTATAGTGATTACATATTATAATATTGCAATGTATATTTATCTTTTAAGTATAAGAATTATTTTTTAGAATGTTATGTGTCCTTTAGAATTTTTTTTTGGTATCATCTATCTACAATTACATGAGCAACATTATGGTTACTAGACAACCCCCATCATCAAGTCCCCACCACATACCCCATTACCGTCACTGTCCACCAGTGTAGTAAGATGCTATAGAATCACTACTTGTCTTCTCTGTGTTATACAGCCCTCCCCATGCTCCATTACCTACATTATGTCTGCTAATCATAATGCCCCTTTACCCCCCTTATCCCTCCCTTCTCACGCATCCTCCCCAGTCCCTTTCCCTTTGGAAACTGTTAGTCAATTCTTGGGTTCTGTGAGTCTGCTGCTGTTTTGTTCCTTCAGTTTCTTTCTT